ATTGAGTGAGATAAGCTCCTGATTAATACTTCACAGCCCTAGAATATGAAGTCAATATCTTCATCTACTACAAAATAGCGGAACATTTAATAATTTCCTGAAGATCAACGCATTAATATTGATATTCAAATCTGTTTTAAAAAAATATCCGTTTTTCCGTTTACCAGCTGTCGCACCCCTACGAACAACAACCCTCATGAGTCGAAACTTGTGCGATCTAAGGATTAACGAGGTCTTACCTTTTAACTTGTGATTCCTAACACGTTAACAGGTTAATATTTCTACAAATATTCCTTTTTATCAGACATATGGCAATTCCAACAACCCAATAAGGTTTGTTAACGACAAAAAATGTCAGTACGATAATGAACATCATTGTTCATTTAGTTTTCGGTTTTACTAGTAGAAAGGTACTACGTCAACAGTCTCTGAAATGGTCAATTTTCGTCCATTGGAAGAAAAAACTGAAGCGATTTTTAGTTACGGTGTGACGCGTAAATTTCACGAGACCGAAATGATTTTCAATGAACGTTTTCCGAATCGTCCAATCTGGAAACCCTCAAGTTCCAGTGAATACGATATGGTTTCAGCAGGATGGACATTACCAAGTTAATGTCCGACAATACCTCGATACAACACTTCACAATCGGTGGATAGGGAGGCGAGGATCAATTGAATGGCCTGTGCGATCACCTGATCTTTCATCATCAGATTTCTTTTTATAGGGATATGCAAAGAGCAATGTGTACAAAACTAAACCTTCAGATTTGAATGACTTAAAAGAATGAATGTCGCTTGCGATTAGATTGATCACGCCTGATATGTTGAATAACGTTAGAAGACAGTTTTATTTGAGTTTAGGATGTTGCCAAGACGTTCGCAGTGAAACTTTTGAACATCTACTTCGTTAACATTCATAGTTCTTTTTCGTATTCTACATTTCATTACGTTTTGCATTACATTTTAGTTTTTGAGTGTATTTTATCGAATTTTGGTAGCCACATGATATTAATTTATTTTATCTCAACTAATGCAATGAACTTGAAATCGATAACATATTTGAATAGAGCATGGAAACTGTCATTCGAAGGGGCTTGAAGGTAGGGGTGGCATTTTTACGTTGAAAAATGTTGAATTATAATTTACGTTTGACGTGTTTCGGGATTTTTTTGAAATATGTACAGTAACCGAAATAATGTTCTAATATACTAAATTCATTATAAAATATATTTCATTTTATTATCAGATCGGTGAAGGTCGATCTTCTACTATAAGAAATGATATATTTCCATAAATGTCGAAAAACAAATCAAATTGAATAAAGGATGTTTCTTCCAATAGTCTTGTATTCTTTTGAGTTTTATAGAGCCCTCATGCAGTACCAGACCTACAAAGGTTAGTAATTCTTCTTTGTCAAGTGCTTTCCATTAGGTAATTCTAGAGTTTAGTGTAGCCCCTTCCTTGCCCCTTTCAGTGACGATCAAACTCAGTATTTTGCCATTCAATAGTAGTCGAAAGTATTCAATAGGCTGATTACCTTCAGGAGTAAGTACTAGTAGTTGTGTTTTTTTTGTAAATTGAAACTCATTCATTTCGCCGGGCCCGTCGGACCACTTTGGTTCCGAAACGTCCACTTGTGCAGCTAATGCAACGTCCTCTTGTTCCGGCCCTGCAACGTCTTCTTGTGCCGCCCCTGCGACGTCCTCTTGTACCGACCCTGCAACGTCTTCCTGTACCGTCAGTATCACTTGATCAAATACAAGAAGTTCATCATGAATAATGTAAATATTATAAGAATATGTTCTATTTATTTTACCGGTGTTATCTAAATCGACGTCCTCCCATTCAGAATCGGATTCTATTTCAAAATTATCATCACTCGATTCAATTAAATCCTAATCGTTATCATAATCACTGTCTTCCAATGCAGCTGATAGGTCTTGTTCTGTAATTCTTTTTGGGTTTTTAGGCGTTACTTCAGGTTTCTTACAGTTAGAGGGACCTGGCGCACTTCTATCCATCTTAATCTAGTAATAAATAGTGGAATTCAAAACTGCACAATTTTTTTTATAATTTCTGACCTTTACTACCAAACTGATAAATACGCGTACCTTTCACTCCAGTGCAAACGTTACAGTGGCCTGTTTCGTGAAGATAAATCTCGTCTTTATATCTTATATATCTACAAGAACGTCGACTCCGTTCGACGTTCCATTTGGGTTCTTGCAGATATATAAGAAGCAGATCATGTATAGGCAAATTCAGATAATTGCGATATTCTAAGAATAGTTTAATATTCAGTAATTATATTTTGTCAGAGCCCCCGTAAGGGCTACTGGCGCCTGTGTGCAAAAAGGATTTTGACGCCCCTTATGGCATTTTGGATCATATTTTTTTAATTATTTTCTTGAAGGTAGGTAGGTAGGTGCGTGCTTGAAATAAAGCAAAAAAACTGGGTAAAGATACGTTGTTTATAAATACTAGAAAATAACCCAAAACTAAAAATCACATTTCTTTCAGGAACAAATAACATATATACGGTGCATTTCTTTAATGTATCCCCGCTTTTATTTTTTGAAGGAGTCAACTCAAAAAATTGAAATTTGGGAT